CATATAATTTACCTTCATGAAGCTGCAGCACTGTGTTGAACTGATCCCTTAGGCACAGTTGTGCATCAAGTTGTTGCACATCAACCTGGATGCAACCGAACCAGTGGATGGAATTGGTTTAGAGGGATTTTGTTTCCACATTATCTCAGACAGAGGGACTCAGTATATTCCTGATCTACCGTTCCCTGATTAAATAGCTGTTATCTGTAACGGTAGGGTCAGAGTGTTCCTAGGTTCCTTAGTTTGTAAGAAGCTTTGAGTTCCTTGTTTGGTGATAGCTACTCTATAGGTGAAAGAAACAAATAGGATTTACATTCTTTGAAGTGATAGAGGAGAGGGTAAAAAGGCAGAGGGGTGATTGCACACAAGTTAAAGGTCAGCCCTAGACCTGTCAGCAGGTTGTAGAGTAATGCTTGCACTGCTTCTACCCAGGCTGTCTTGCAGGATTTCTGGCATCTCAGTTTACCTTCAAATTAAGCACCACCTAGCACTAAATTCACCCGAGAAACAGATGGATATCTTTTGAAATGTGAAGTAGATTTTGTGCTTGTTTCCATATGGTCACAAACCCCAGAAAGGATGAATCAAAGACTTATAGAAAGCAAATAAATAAAATCAGAAAGGAACAGCCAAAAGTGTCGGCTAAGATACCATGGCTGTGTAGCAGGACCTGTAGATAGAAAGCTATTTTAAGAAAGCTACTAATGGAAGAAGAACCAAATCTAGAGCAATTTCTCTTCAGGATGTAAATGCATTTCACATCCTCAAAGTCACATTAAATATGTTAGAACCAGCTGTTATTCCATATGAGTTAATGAAGCCACATGTGGCTGGGGATAGAGACAGGGATCATTTGAAAAGCTTGAAATAACTGGTATTGAAATTATGATGCCATGAAACCCAAGACACTGCAAGTGGTTGCATCAAAAGAGAGAATAAGGGCAATATCAATGCAATATTGATGTGACTGATGCATCACAGTTTCTAATAGAAATTAAATCACATCAAAACCAGCCACATTGAAGTATAAAAGGAAACCCTGGTGGCACTTTTCAGATGAGGCATTTTATCATTATGGTGAATAGAAAAGAAGTTGAAGTGCTATAGAACTGGATCAAAACCTTGGAGATGTTACTGATGACTCTTGATACAAATAAGCCCAGTAGGATAAAACATTTATTATTGCAGTTATGGGACTGCGTTTAAGAAACTGCAGGGGGAAATGACTGTTTTGTTCTTTTCTTTTCAACACAGAAACTGTATAAAACATCTTGGGAACAGACAAGGGCATCTGGCTATGATTTTAGGATTGACGCCATCCCATTCCAGACAGCAAAGGCTTCAAGAGAGATTGCTAGTGATGTAAGAATTGTTCTGCTTCAAACACTTCCCAACCCTCTCCCCGTGGCACCCCCACCCTGTAAAAATGGGTGAATTCTGACATGCGGGAACCTTGTTCTGGTTTAGGAAAATTGGTCACCCAGTGAAACCAAATGCTGGTTAAGTGCTAAGATTTCCAACTAAAGGCTTCCATTAATAATGTCCAATAACAGGCTGCCCTGTTTCACTTCAGAGAGTTATTCCTGGGAAGAAGGCATATTATAATGAAGTTAAATAAAATAGGTACTAGGCTATGAATAGTTTAAGCATGGTCTAGTATAAAGTGGGTCACCTTTGACACAAGACCACCATTGACAAGAAAGCTGAAGATGGAGGAGCTTCATTGCTTGAGCTGGGTATTGGGTGCACCCAAGAATGCAACAATAAGAGGACCTCTGATTGCTTTTGAGAGATTAGTATTTTGGGCTCCGTAAGTCTTTCCACTCCTTTAAAAATAAGCACAAAGGGCATTCTCCTTGTTAGATTAGGAGATCTAGTTCAATATCAAACAAACCTTTGGTCTTTACGCACTACCAGAAGCATTATTGATAGTCAGGGGGAGGGTAAGTTATTTCATTTCAGAATTTGGAGATAATCTGAATGTGAAAATGAGATTTTTCTCTCCACTTCCTGCAGTACAAATACAGAGAAGCCTTCCTGAGAGACAGAGGCCAGCAGATTGGATTCCTCAGTGCAAATGATGATCCCAAAATCAGGCATGTTCTCAGAGTGGGGAAACTCCAGAGTGATAACGAATACAGGAGTGGATATGCCCGAAACAGGGCACAGTTCCAGAGTCACATCAACCAGCCAGGATTCCTGCATGCTAAGAGAAGCCAGGAGCTTGCAAGCAATGTTAACTACAGGCAACCTTTGCACCAATACACATGTGATCCTGAGCAGCTAAATGTGAAGCATGCAAAGCAGGCCTACACGCTGCAGAGTGATGTAAGTATAGCTGAGTGATGCTGTCCTTCCAAGTGCTAGGAGCTGTGTGCAGAAATGTGCTTCGCAGACCTTACCTATCAACAGAATCTCATTCTTGAAAGAACTGCAGTCTGTTTGCTGAAAATGAACAGCTTGTTTATTATTGACCCTGTTGCTCTTTATATGTCCTCTCTTGAATACCAAGGGTTGATTGATGTGGTTTGATTAGAGCCAAACAAAATAATACACACTGGTATGTGTTTCATTCGCTCAGGTGAAATACAAGTCTGACTTGAACTGGCTCAGAGGCCTTGGCTGGACTCCTCCAGGTTCTTACAAAGTCGAAATGGCAAGGAGAGCTGCTGAGTTGGCATACATTCGGGAAATGGCGTTGCGAGATGCTTCTGCTCAGTATGGACCTGGAGTTGTAAGTAGAGTAAACCATTCTTCTCACAAATCCTGACAGCTCTGCTCTCTAGAAGGCAGGCAGACACACACACACAGTTTAATATTTTTGAATGCTCCTAGAAGACTACAGTTCTCCCCATTATTTGAACAGAATATATCTAGTTGCCTCATGAAGCTTCGTGGCTTTGTGTACACCTTAATTTGAAGGGACCTCTCAAGAGAATTCAACACTGTCATGGCTGAGGAATTTCTGGAGGGACTAAGAAGTGCCACAGGATAGGATTTACTTATACTATGGGATGTATTTCCCTTAACTTGTGGGTGTTGTCAGATCTCCAAGTGTCCTGATATCTCCATGAGGGCAGAAATGGAGGTGGAAGGGGCTTCCTATACAACTATCCTTCTCTTTTTCCAATTTCAGCAAGACACTGTGCGTTGCCATGTAATTACTTGTTGCCACGTAATCTCCACAGGTAACTGTATTGACAAGCTTAGTGTAGCCTCCTAACAGGACAGTGTGTGCTGCGGGAGACTCCCCAATACTGTGGGATGCTTTTCTCAAAGAGGGAATGCTCCAGCCTCCTCCATCTCTGCCCAGCTCAAGCTGCAAGAAATTACAAGCTGGAATCTCCCAGGTTTTCCTTCTCTCAATCTGCAGTGTCCTGGCACAAAAGTGCAAAAATCCATACAAGGACCTTGTAGTCCCCACAGTTAGGAATCATTATGTTACGATAAAAGAGGACTTCTGCACTTTCAATACCTGTTTCATTCAGGTTTTAGCTCTGGCAACAAGTCAAAGAATAATCCAGCCCAAGAGAAATAGAACATATCCATAATTAACATTCCTATTTGAAAAGTTGCTCAGGAAATAAATTATAACTATGGTTAAGTAATGCAAGTATTGAGGACTGCCAGCAATATCTTCTTAATGCCTATGTGTGATAATGATCTGGTGATCCCAGGGAAATCTACAGGTGTGCAATCGACCTGGCACTCAGGTGTTTGCTGGTTTGCTCTTTATTTAGGGCTCAGATTAGAAATTAGGACTTGAGAGCATTCAGTCCTTTGATATATGTAGTATCTAACTTACATGAACAGCTCAGTTTTTCACACTTTTCCACTTTAGAGATTTGCTCAGTGCAGAGCAGTGATTTTGATTTTTCTTATTTGTTTTCCAGTTGTGGCAATTTTTAATATGAAAATATTTTTTTAGACAGTAGTTAAAACCTTCTCCTGTCCGCTGTCTGTCTTCACAATTTACTTGGGTTTGATTTTACAGGACCAATTGGAGACAGAAGGATCTCAGCAGGTCACAGTCAACCCTGATGCTTCAGAAATTCTGCAAGTCAAGCGAAGGAAAATGCAGATGTATCAGAAGTAAACGGAAATATGACATAACACAAAGAGATTTTCACCTTGTCTGGCAAATCTTGTAGCTTTTCCAGTTTTCTGGGAAGCACAATAGATGGCATCTAAGAACTTTTTGTTTTAAAAAGCAACCTAGACATTGCAATTTATAACTAATAATTTTATTTTTGTGTGGATATTTGTGATTTATCACAGTATGTATTACAGAATTTGATATTTATTTAAAGCTGTAAATTAAATTAATACTAGACTGGCAGGCTCAGCTTTGTACTATAGATGAATGAACCTGATTAGTAGAATAGAAATTAATTTTTAATGAATAAATCAGATTAATCTTATGCCATACTTGTAGTTTTTGGAAGTTTTTATGTTCCTAGATTGCTGGCAGCATTGACCTAAGAGAATACAAAAACATCATTCAGGAGGCTTAACAGATGAACAAGATAAAGGCCAGTGGAAACAAAGTTATTGACTAACCAAGGGCACACCTTTTAATGGACATCAAAGAATTTGTTCTTGATTAACAGGGTGTATTCAGATCGCAATTAGTTCTTCAGTCTTTTTCAAATCTTCCAAAGCAAAAAATCAGAATTAGTTTGTTAGAAATTATCCCAATAGAGGTAGCTATTGACAGATGAGATAGCTGCTTAGAGAAGGTTGTAAACGCTGGAGTCGCTTTACTTACTGATGGGTTTTGCCTACAAAATGTGGGCTTATTTCAAAGCCCCCAACAAGAAAATCATCACTGACATTCTAGAAAATGCTCTAAGGCTGTTTTCAAGATGCTGATGAAGGGTGCCCCATGTAGGCCATGAGGAAATATCAATAAAGTTTTTGGTTGAAGAGGAGGCATTTGGGGAAATTATAAAAATAAGTTATTAGCTCCATCTTACCATTTGTCATTCCAAAGCTGTCTCCTAATGAAGTGACCTTGACTGAGACTGGGTTTTGGATTTAATCCAGCTGAGAAATGTTGTCACATGGGTATAAACTCCTGGCTTGTTTTTTAACCCACACTCATCACCCCAGCTCACAAGGCCATATACGTAGTAGGAGCCATTTTCTACACAGGTTAGTGGGCCTCCAGAGTCTCCCTGATGAGAAAAAGCACACAGGTTCAAAACTTGAAGCAAAATATTAACCAAAATAAGAATGTTCCTCTCTCGTCATAAGCCTTTGAAGCTGTAATGATGGTTTTTTACTGTCAGATGTACCACAAGATCCTGCTCAGTCTCTGAGCAGGCTTGCAGTTCTGGAACCAGGTGAAATGATACCAGACTTTTTGGATGCAAGTTTTCATTTGTTCAGGTCTGTAACATATATCTGACAAGGTCACATGAAATTTGACAGGCATTAAGAACCTGAGCTCAGAAAGATAAAGATGTGATCCTTGGTACAAATTAAAACACTTGATCTCTCCCACACCCCTCAAAATAACTTTATTCTGAGCTGGTTGGTCTCATCTTTTTGTTTTATTGGTGATTTCTATTGTGAAGTATGCTTGCAGTGGTAGTTTGCACTCCAGGAAGCATTGCTCAAAGTCTTCTCTATCTTACAATGGTATAAATATGGACTTGCTATACATTTGCAGTAGCTGTAATGAAAAGAAATGTTAATCTTGACTTTCCCTGGAAGTGAAAATCAGATCAGAATTGGTGCTCATGGCAGAGGCCATAATAAAATTGAGAGAAAAAGGAAAGTTTTCAGATTATTATGACAAACTGTCTCAGAAGTCAAACTTTCCAGGCTAGTCTCTAACTTCCATAGATCTGCCTGTGGCTGACAGTGACAACATGAGCTCTAGGGATATACGTCTCAAACTGCACTGGAGAAAGACGATGTCTGTTGAAATATGCTGATGGGAGAAACGGATACATATGCAGCACCCTGCCAAAGCTATTACTCTTCACAGCCTGACTATTTACACAAAAAATTAGTGTTCAGATACAGGAAAAGCAACAGACCTGACAAGAATCAACTCCGGATCTCTGAAGATTTCCTGCACAAAACATGCTTTCATCCAGCATGCGATCATATGCTCTGGGTGCATTGCATTTCCTCTGTGAAATCAGCTTGACACTGGCATCTAACAGCTGACGAGATGTTTCATCTATGGGATGTACACCAAAAAAATGGAGTCACCTTCCTCCCAATCCTGTTACATGTTGTCTTTGTTCAAAATATGAGCCTACTTGCTGTTTGGATGGGAAGGAGCAAGAGCAGGGGTGGTGCATGGGCTAGCCTGGGAAGAAAAGCAGCATCTGTCTGAAATGGTAAGTGTTAAGAGTTGGAGCCTAGAAGCTTCACTCAGGACATGGAGTTATTTCCTGAATAAAAGCAAAGTTAGGCTTTCAGAATGTGGCCCCAATCAGCTCTACTCGTGTAATCCAGCTTTCCAAAGGTGCTGGTTGTCTGCAGCTCCCACAGGCCCCAATGGGATTTTGAGCTGCTCAGCACTTCTCAGGTTGGTGCCATCAGATGTTTTAACACGCAGGCTAATGAAACAGATGAAAACTGAAAATCATACAATATTTAAGGGCAATGATTAATTACAGTGAATCTAAAGACATAACTTGACATCTAAAGGCAATAGCCAGGGTTTCAAAGCACTACATCTGTAGATAATTAAAGGTGGTTTATAAGTTTGGTTCTGCTTGAGTTTCAGGAAATATTCCATTTCTGCAGTGATTTCCTGAAATGCTAATAATAGCTCTGCTTAAAGAAGTAGCCATCTAGTTTGAACACGTACAGGGTACTTGATAGTCTTTGTTGGGGAAAAAAATTTCCCTGTACCCTTTTTAAGAGAGACTTTTTATTTGGAACTTTTAAAAAGTGTCCATTAAATTCTGTTGGTGCATTCTGATCAAATGAACACACTTGTCTCTTGTGGACTTCAATGAGAGTTACATCAGAAGGGAGAATTTGGTCCTATGTATCGTATCAGGCTCTATCAGTCACAAAGCACTAGGACACCTACTGCAGCCTCAGTGACACATTTTCCTTCTGCTGCTTTACAGCAACACATCAATCAGAACATGAGAAAATGCATTTTTCAGAAAATTGCCATTATCTTTTTTTAAGCATAGTAATTTCTCCCCTTAGGATTTACTGCAGGCAAGAAAGGTTTTGGATAGAGCTGGTTGAACTTGAAAAGCCTTGGAATTTTTTTATTATTTTTCAGTGCATCTGAAGATCCAGATGCTGCTTCTGAAAAGCTTTATCTGACCCAATGGGCTGGAAAAGCACGTGAAAGTTCTTGTCTGTCTTGGACCTGTCTTGAAATACACAAACTATACAATAGCCTCTCTCTTGATAACTTCTTGTTTCTGTTGCTGGCTTCAGATGAAACCATGACATGGTGTGTCAGATGGCAAGCAAAAACAATACGTCAGGGATTTTTTCAGAACTCGGAAAGGGTTGGTAGGTCTAGCAGTTGGAGATTTCTGCTAATGAGCGATTTCCATGGCAGGGTTTAGCCATCCTTAGTTTTTAATTCCATGTCTTGGTTTCTCTGAGTTTCTAGGTCTACATTTCAGCCTGGCAATTGCTACTGGCAGTACCAGCCCACATTGCCATGGAAGTACATGCCAAACTCCATCTAGCCCATAAATACCTGTCTCTGTCTCGCCCCATCCAGAAATGAAGCAGTCAGTCCCAGCAGGAAAGGAGAAGTTAGGCAAGCACGTGGTTTTCACATGCTTTGTTTCCACTGCACAGTGACCATCAACTGGCTTCAGTTTAAGTAGTGCTGGAGAGAAGATAAACAACAGCAAGAAGTATTTGTAGACCTCGTCCCTGGTGTTTTGCTCCTCCCACACAGTGACTGCTGCCTGCCCATCACGATTCACATCCCAAAGATTCAAATGGGTTTAAACCACAATTTGGCCTAATTATTTCCAGAATAGAGTCTCAATGGGGGTTTCCATTGACTTTAGTTGGAGAGAGGCGCTTTGAACAACTGAAGTTGGAGGAGAGCCACGTGAACATTCAATAAAAGGGATTTACCAATATCATTGTGTGGGACACCATTCTTCTCTATGTATTTGTGATGCACAATGATCTTCTCCACATCAAATATTTGCTCGTGATGCTCTCTCTTCTTGAGGTCTTGCTTTCCAAGGGCTACTCGGAGATTTTCTGCTGGCTCTCTACAATAAAGGTAAATTACATGCAGTCATTGTCTATCAGTGGTGGCGAAAACCCACACCTTTGGTATCTGGAAGTCAAGATACTGCTTCCTCTTGTGGAGCGTGGCCAGAAGATTTCCTAAAATTGTTAGAGGAAAGCTTAGTCAGGGAAGTGGTGGTATTGGACAATATGTGTGCTCTTGTTGCAATCATGAAATAAAGTGATATAAAGCTGCATGAAGACTCTTTTCTTTGTATCTAGGGGAGAGTAGGAGTGTGCACACAGTTCATTACTGTGGCTGTGATGATGAGTGGTAAGTCATGGAGCCATGGGAGATAAATTGCTTGCCACTGTCTGGGCATACTTAAAATCATCTGTGCTGGAATGATCTATGGAGTGTAGTTCACCAGTTTCCAAGGATGGTGGTTTCCAACCTGTCCAACAAAAATGTTGAAGGAAGTGTCATATTCTAAGCTGGCTGGCACATAAGCAATTAAGATCAAAATATGCATTTTATCTGTTCTGGAGATCTTAATTATGATGCAATATGTGATGTTGCTTATGGCGTCTCAATATTCGCTGAAGTTTTCATGGAGTCTCTTTTATACATTGCAAAACCTTGTTTCTTTCCTCCTTTTTTTTACTCTCAATTATTTTAGCTCATTTAAGGCGAGTGGGGGATAAGTTTAATTTGTTACTCCAGCAAACTCCATTTTCAAATATATATATGTGTGTGTGTGTGTGTGTGTGTATTTTCAAGTCTGTGTTCATTTATTCACAGATATGTTTTCCTTTCAATTTGATTCCCAGCAATCACTTGGATTGCAAAAATTTGGATTCCAAGCTGTCTTTATTAACCAACCTGATTTTTATATGTTTATCTACACTAGGTAGGACATGCACCTACTCAATGCAGTGCCCAGCAGTGAGAACCCAGCATGCTTTAATGAGCACTCCACCACAGAGATGTCTGCTTGTTTTTGAAGTTTTAATCTGCAGAGATGCCATCCAGGGATGTTTGCCCGCTGTAGTCTTAGCTCCACCATAGATCCTCTTGAGTGAGCTTTGAATTTCTGGTTGTCCACACGTTTTGAATATTTCATTTGATGCAGGTGAGTCTATTGGGCTGTCTGTTGGCCATGCGCTCTCTTCAGCTGCATTGGAAGAGACAACAGGTGTATAATGCAGAGATAATATTGGACTGGAGGAGTTAAATAACAGAGGGTCCCCTGCTTCTTGCTGCTCTGGACCACTTATGTGCTGCTAAACAGCTCACTTCTAATTCCTTACCTGTTCCTGAGCAGGGTGAAATGTCACAGTAGTCCCATTCCACTTTTTGATTTTTTCTGATGTAGCACCAGGGTTTTTCATCCTCATCGGGATTCCTGAAGGGAACAGTTGAGAGCATCAGCCAGTGGGAATGGGGAAATCTCCATGAAACCAGTGAAAGAGCTGAGGATGCTTAGGGGAGCAGGTTCATGTTCCCATATGAGAGTCAAACTTCCAAAGATACTCTTTCGTAAGACTTGACAAAGAAGATGCCTGAGATAAGGGAGTGGGGCTTCTGCCATTTTACTATCCCCATACCTATATTAACCCTAAGAAAAATGAAGGACTGATTCAGGGGAATGAGGGCTGCTTCTGGAAGCCTCACATCAGTACAGTGACCTAGAAAATACATCTCTAACATCCCGGTATTTCACAGACACACAGTGTCTAAAAAGAGCTGAGATCTTAACACCGTCAGTTTGTTAAATTCATGGGCAGTTTGTCTTCTGGTAGACCTCTACAGTTGCTTCTTCAAAATATTACCTGCAGAAGTTGTGTTCACCGATGCCATAAGAGTCAGCGTCCTCCATAAAGGCGTTAATAGGGTAGTCCAAGAGAGCATGGGAATTCCAGTGCAGGCAGGTCCTGCCATTCACTGCTTGGTTCACTCTTCCTCTGTAGTTAGGGGAGGCCTCTTCATAGCAATCATCTGGTCCTATAGGAAGACAATGCTGATATGAAGATGACTTTTGTGTTGTTCCTTGCCCAGAGTAGTTCCTCTTCCTTCCCTTCGTTGCCCTACATTCATTTTTTGAAGCATCAGAAGGACCTACTGGGTCATGTAATGATATCCCTTATCCTACATAGGCCAGAAGTAAGAGTAATCTCCCAACACCTGTCCAGCTTGAAGCTTGGTTGACTTCAAATGCCTGAAACCTCTTTCCATGGTAAAAACCTAGCAGCTAAGAGGTGTCTTAATGGCAAAGCAGAATCTCTTCATCAGTGGCCTGGCCAAGAAATTGTACCAGCAGAATTAGACAGAAATGGGCACAGAGCTGCTATCATGCTAGGCCAATGGATGTGACAAAAGAAGGTTGTGGGCTTGTGAACCTAACCTGCAGGCGAGCTGGAGGAAAGTTACCTGCATTGTGGAGCAGGACATGAACTTTGAAGTGAAATCAACTTTTAAAAGAGAAAGAAATAAATCCTTCTCCTTGGAAATGTGTGGTGTGTGGTGCCCATGGTGGTCCTGCAGAGGCAGAAGGCTCTTCATGCAGGCTAGGGTAATCCCATGCCCTTGGCCACCCATCCGTGTGTCAGTGGCTGTCCCTTCAGTCTGGGCAGTCACAGGCAAACAGATATGAATCTTCACTACATCAGCTTTCAGGTGTTTAGGGAAAGTCTGATGATCCTTCTCCCTATGACACCTGCAATCTCTGGGAAATGTGTGCTTGCTCCTTATATATCAGTGGGACCTTGTTGAAGCACACACATAAAACATCAGGACATGAATTGTTGAGAGCCTCTTTACTGGTGGTGGCTGCAGAAGTCAGCCTCTTCCTTCAATGCTCTCCTCAAGGAGGCCAGTGCCCCGGGTGCACTCAGACACTTGGTGTGATCACAGCATCCATCAGTATGACTGCAGGGTGAAGCCTGCCCCTGGCTGTCTGGAGGCTTTGCCCCTCTCCCCTGGTGCTGTCACATACCGATATCACAGAATCTTCCTCTGAAAGGTTCAGGGCACTTGCAGGTGAATTTTGATCTGATTCTGTGCCGTTTGCAGCTACCTCCATTTTTGCATGGGTTTGGCCTGCATGGTGAAGAAGCTGTCAATATGGAAAACACAGAACAGCCTCGTCACTCTGTTGAACACTTTACAGCCACTTGCATGCTCAATGGGCGCAGGAGAGCTCCCACTTAGCCTGGTGGCTTCAAGTTCTTATGAGCTCTTGAAAATTACTTGTCACCCAGGGCCTCACCAGTGACTGAAACACCACCCTGTACATCAACCATGACTCCTTGTTAACCAGCCCCATGGCTGGAAGCCATAGCGACTCAGGATGACCAGGGCAGGCCCAACCTCTGCGGTGAGCTGCATGCGATGTCCCACTGCTGACCATCTGTGGTGAGGTGACCTCATGCTGTCCCCACCGTAATTCACCTAGCACCACGCTGAGTGAGAGCCTTTTCTGATGGGGCTGCGCTCACCTTTTTGGCAGTCGGGTGTCTTGTAGGGGTGACTGCAGCTGCACTGAAAATAAGGTGGGGTTAATGTAATCAGACAGTCTCCTCCATGGCACCTCTTCTCCAAACACATGTCCTTCACTGTGGAAAACAGAGACATGAGGTACTTTATCAGTGTTTGTGTGTGCACAAGAGCTGTGCCCTCACAAGGATCATGGGCAGACGCACTTTCTCCTGATGCTTTGAGAAGACTTTCAGCTGTCTGGTGGGGACTTGGGATTTCCCTTCTTGTTCACATTATCTATGGAAAACAATCTACAGGACCAACAAGCAGCTCACCACTGCACACCTAGCAGGGGATATAGGAGCACTTTCTGCACACCTGAAGTCTATATTACTGGATATCACTTTAGGTAGACTTTGTTCTGGATGTGAGACCTATGAACATGATGGTGTTGGGCTGTCAAAGCCCTCACCCCAGCAAACAGTGAGTTTGTAAAACCCCATGTTTGCTTCCATTGGCAGAGCTGCAACTGTAAGAACAGTTGCCAAAATAAGTAGTGTAAGTAAGCGAAGACAATTACCTTTCTCGCAGGTAGTCCCAGTATATGGCTTGGAGCAGAGACAGCTGAAGCTGCTTCCTCTGGTTTCACACCTACCGTTGTTCTTGCAAGGGTTGGAGGAGCATGGGTCTGCTGGAGTAAGAGTGGAGATCTTTTAGTTTAACTTTCAGCTTCTCCACCTCCATCACCTTGCTTTTCCTTCCTGCATTTTCTGAATGTAGCAGGCTGCCTTTCTGTCCACAGCATCCAGTGTAATAGGTACCGCATTTACACATCAGCTGCAGAAGCAGCTATGACCAAAGCCTATTGCAAGCTGCAACATTTCACAGCTTTGGATCTGGAGCACCTCAGCTCCCTTTGCCATGTCTACAATGGAGCTATAAGGGGCAAGTCCCTTCCCTTGCTCAGGGACAGATTTACCTCTATGGCAGTGACAGAAGTAGGTGTCTTAAGTGCCAGAGCTGGCCCTGGGCATCTGGACTCATGGATTTAGTGTGAAGGGGTATGGATTTGGCATTGCCCTGGTTATGACATGGCAATAAATCTCCCCTGGAAAACCCACCGACCACAATTACAGTGTAATATATCCCTGGGTGGATACTGCTGCGAGGGAGCAGGCACCTGGTGTCACTTGCGTGCTGCTCCTTACACCCTGATCAACCTCTCCACTCCAGGCTGCTGGGAGCAATTGGTGTTGGGGACAGTCACACACCAGCTCTGCTTGCTTTGTACCAGGGGGTAACCCAGAGCATCTTACAGTCAACCTCCTTGTCTCTCCTTCTGTGTTCCCTGAGCAATCTCAAGGATCCATTCCTGTTCTCTGGAAGTTTGGTGAAACAGAAAAAGAAAAAGAAAAGAAAAAAGCCTACAACTGAGGGAAAAAAAGGAAAAAAAAGGAGATCTGCTCTACATTTGGTTCCCAGCATAAATACAGAACATATATCCCATGAAAACAGCAATTACATCTTACAGTGTCTATAGACAAATAAGCCTGTGCTTTTTTGTAGTAGCAATCAGAAATGTTCTGCATGATCAGAATCCATCCTGTGAAACCCGGAGATAAAACACAGGCTCCTTACAAGAGAAATACAAAGGAGAACACTGCAAACAATCCTCCTAACTCATCCCTTTGATGCAGGCATTTCGAGAGCAGGCTGGCAGGCGAGGCCTGCCACACTCACTCTGCAAGCATAGGGTTGGGATTTTACCCCTTCCTCGCCTCCCTGTCCACCCCTCAGAGGTACCTTTTTCTGTGTCGCTGTAGCCAAAAAATGCCTCGAACCAGTCAGGGTCCTCCGAGGCTTGCTGCTGGAGTGAGAGGTCCTGATCCTCTTGCCCAAACTCATCGTAGTACTCGTAGTTGTCAGTCTCATCTGCAGGGAGGGGTGAGAAGAGAGTGGGAAAACAGAGGAATTAAAACTGCTTGAAGGAGAGAATCACAGAATCACAGAGCGTCAGGAGATGGAAGGGACCTCGAAAGATCATCCAGTCTAACCCTCCTGCCAGAGCAGGATCACCTAGAGTAGGTCACACAGGAAAAGGTATGAAAGAAGTTATTCCTGGGGATGGACAGGCCTTTTCTCCTTCAGCCCATTTGGCATCAGTGGGTCCAGAGCTCACACCATCTTGAGGACCAAAGGTGCTGTTTAGCTCTTCCTTGGTATGGGCAGAGCTCACTCCATGCCTGGCATGGCCACCAGCACACCCTACAGCACGCTCTTCAGCATACCCTTCAGCACACCCTGCCAGGCCCAGCTCTGCCCTTGTGGCCACTCCTGGAGGCCGCCGGGCCCTGGCTGCTCAGCCAGCTTCTGTGGTGACAGACCCCAGAGGGGACACAAACAGGGACTCTGCAGACAAGGACACAAGCCCCCACACAGCACCACAGCCAGGGGAGATGCTGATGTTACCAGCTGTTACCACAGTGAGAAAAGGAGATTTATATTCCTACAAGAAGAAGGGGTTTTCATCACCGCCGCTGTGGCGCAAGGCAAGACCTTCACTGCTACATGGGAGCCTGCTGCGTGTGGGGACACAGAAACCTGTTTTGAGGGAAATTGGAGGGGAGTCAGAACCCAGGGCACCCACACAGCTCTGTGGCTCCCCGTCCACAAAACTCCTTTGGAGGAGCAAGGCCTGGTGCAGCAGATGTGCTGAAAAGCTTGCCCTTGCCTCCAGCCTCCCCACATCCTCCCTGGGAGCCCAGCACCATCAGGACCTGCTTTGCCAGTCAGTTTTTGGGGGAGCAGCTGATTAAAGTGGGCTGGCAGCTCCTTGCGCAGGTACGGCTGGGGCCGGGTTGCTGTGTGGGGTCTGCGGCCAGGGGAAGCCACTCTGGTGTTTCAAAGACAAGCTATGGTAATGAGCAAAGCTAAGCTACATACAGAGACATTTTAAAAAGCTCTCCCCTAGGGCTGGACCGATGGCCCCATGGATAATGCTCTGCCTTGAACTGATTATCAACTGCATTATCTTAGTTTTCTCTCCTCATTCATTCACTTGCAGCCTTTATCTTTATTCTTTTTTTTTTTGCTACAGAAAAAAAAAAGAAATTCCACTTTTGTACAATGGGTGTTTTATATTTCATATTAAAATAGAACCATCTTTTTTTCTTCTTCTTTTTTTTTCCTATGTGCCAACTCTCATTTCTCACCAGAAAAAAAAAAAGAGGAAAGTTTCACCTCATTTATTGCTATATCAAGTCAAGACTCCTTTTCCTCAGCTCATTATTTCCACAGGAGCTGAGTCTCGACAGTGTGCAAGTGTTGCAGAAGTGTGTGCCTTGCTGAGGAACAGAAGGATCTCGCTGGAAGATAAGGACATTGTCTACAGTGAACAAAATTAAATTTAATGTGATGTAGTTAAGAAAGGAAAACAAAAAGAGGGCTTTGCCTTAAATGCAGGCTGCAAGCTCTCTTTGTTGAAGGGGAGATTTTGCAAGCGGACTTGAGTTTGAGGGAATTGTCTGAAGGAGTCTGGTTCTGTTTGCTGTTTATTTTCAAAATCTTAGCGGGGGATGTTGACTTTTATTCCATAGATGCTTTAAAGAAGTATTCTGAGTGATGGGGTAGTCCTTTGTATAGAAGAGATATACCTGTTAAAAGTTATGGAGGATGAACAGGGGAGTTACAGCTGTCAAATCAGACTGCAAACACACCCAGCGTGCTTTACAGAGACTGGTGAGGGCTCTCTTGAGTCAACAGAGGAAAAACAAGTGCTCAAAATAAGCATAAATAGCTAAGCCGTTGTACCATGATTTTTAAACCAGCTGCTCAGTGTAAGTATGGTGTTAAGAAATGATGTTACTATCACTTCATATTGTTACATCAGGATGATTTCTTAGCAATGGATTAATAATTTAATAACAACACTTATGAAATTATTTGTTGATCCATTATGGCCTATTTTAAGTGCATCTCTGTGGTAAAACTCAAGTTGGCCAAGGTGCAATTCCTGTTTTGCAGGATGCCTGCTTCTGGTGACTCTGCCCGGTGGAGGAGCACAAACCCCTGTTAGCACTGACAGGGCAGATCACTCCCCTGGGCAGTTTTGGGACAGGCTAATGCACACCTGAGGCCAGGTTGGCACCTGGCAGCCCTTGAGGAGAACACTTCCTAGTGGCCTGGGTTGAGGTTGAGAGGGTGGCATGGAGCAATCCCCTCATGGGGATTACCATTAAGTGAAACTTAATGACTAAGCTATGGAGTTAAAAGCATATGTGGAAAGGTCTTAGAAAACATCAGCAAACCTTTTTGGGGACCCTGCCCCCCTGTGAACACAATGGGAGTCAGGAAGCTGAGCTGTCTGGCCGGGAGACTGGCCAAGGTGACGTAAGAGTGCATCCAAAATTAATCTGAGAGTGCATGAGAAATCACCAGTGTCCCTGCTTTCTCCATCACTATCCCTCTTTATGAAACTCTGAAACAGAAATAGCTTCTGCTGGTCATGTGAGTAATGCTTCTCATCTCCCAGCTACTCTGTGTCCTCCCCAGCCACACAAAGCAGTGAAAAACAAAGAACAGAAAACCTTGACTTGGGTACATGATATCAAACTAAAAGATGTCTTCCTATTTATCTTTGCTTTGACATTAAATAACTATTTGACTTTCCCATCTCTCATTTAAGAAGTGCTTCCATTCCATTTTTTTAATTATTCATAACAAGCCATAGGTTTAGTAAAGCAAAAACAACACTTTTTTTATCTGAGCACATAATTAACGCACGAAGTCTGAGACACTGGTTGATTTAAACATATTACTAAATCACAGTGTTCATTCTTTGTAAGTGCTGGAAAACCTTAACATGCTTAAAAAAAGCAGTGATCTGACATTTGTCACTGAAATGTGACTATTACATGAAATTAAATTAGACATCCTGCATGCAAATTTTCAAAGAGTAACTTTCCTCTGTGTAGTACAAAAAAATCCCCCCATAATTGATAGGCAGAGATTGACTTTTAAAGCTTCAAATCAGCTTTGAGGTCTGGGTGATCTTTTAAACTGCTCAAGCTTTCATCTGCAGTTTTTCACATTGCCAAGAGCTGTCAATCAAGCGATGGATTTCTGATCAATATCCCCTTGTTCATTAGCTTACACAGGCTCTCTGTTACGGGGAGAACAGATATCCCAATGCTGGCAGTCACACTGTTTTCAAAACCTCCGCTGGATCAAGTCATGACTAATGTTCCGAGTGGGAAAGTGATGCATTAGGATGCCATCAAGTGACCTGAATTGCGAGGTAACTTTGTTGGACTGCAGTTGTCAAGATGAGTGATGTGCCAAGTTAAACCCTATTGCCATCGCACATCAAGAGCGCCAGAAAGTACCCGGCGTTTATTGAAGCTCTCTGAACCTCTGGGAATCAACTGAAGTCTGGCCTAATTTCAGCGGGATGAGTTTTCCTACCACCTTTCTAAATACTTTTTGTCTCCAGCTCTGAGAATAATGCAGTGTTATTTTTATGAGGCTGACTATATTTTAAATAATGAGATGTCCCCCATTTACTGTTGCAGAGACAGACCTCACGGTATTTCCTCCCATCCATGCAGGCTGTGGCTGGGAGTATCTGCAGCTTCAGAAAGAAATTGCGAAAGAAGTGAGACCAGCTAACAACAAAGCCAGAAAGCCTTTCAAACAGTTTTGTGACTGTTACTTAAAAGCAGTTTTGCAGCACTTTTTCCTTGCTGGATGCTGTGTGAAGGCAGATGATGATGGCTGAAGGAGTGGGGACTCACAGGTGGGGAGCAGGAGAGCGCAGGGTCAGTGGAAGGACAGAGTTATGGACCATAAAGTGTAATGGAGTGCATGAATTAAGGAATTGTGGAAGGGATGCTTACCATCAAAAAGTGAATCAACCAGGTTGCACAAGGCTTGTGCATATAGTCTGAAGCCAAGAACATGACTTTGTGGCCAAACACTTGCAGAAGCCAAATACTGAGATCAGACACATAAATGACTTGGATATTTGCTTTCAACACACATTGTGTTAGAAAAGCAACACTGATTCAGGGAAAGAAGCAGTGCTGTATGAGCTACAGGGCTGATGGACTCACAGGTTTGATCTGGAAGCCAAAATGCCACCAGAATGAACAGAATGTGGGTCACTGAGTGCACAGTAAAAGCCATATTTTTTTTTTTGGCAGTAAAAGGAGAAAAATCAATTTAACCCTTCATTAGCTATAAAATACAAACTCAGATCTAAGAGCCACTGAACTCAAGAAAAGGAAGAGCAGGACTTGACCACAAAAATAGAAAAATATTGACAATAAAACCATAATCCTCCACGTGGACCAAGTAGGCTGCAAAAGGATAATAATATCTACAGATCCTCACACAACATTCATCACAGCTTTTCTCTTATCAACATCTTAGCTTTCAATGATTTTTACTTGCATGAGCTTGTAAACACTTTTCGAATCTTCTTGCACTTTGTACAAAACCTTGTGAAAATAAGTTCTACAGTTTGTTGTATGCTGGAAGGGAAAGTTAGAGTTAGCCTTCATTTATGTGACCTTCAGTTTGCATGCATAGAGAGACTCCTTGCTTATCCTTCTGTGAGGTTTGCAGCCCAACTGCAAACTTCTCCTCCAGCCCATGACCTACTGCGTCATCCATGGGTCCCCAAAGCTGTGTTGAGCACAGGAGGCCACAGAGTGGCAGAAAAGTCCTGGCTCGGAACAGAGCTGTGAGTTGCAGTTTTGGTCTAGGAGTATCCCATGATCAGCTGCAAATTGGTGCTTTATTTTGGGCTCCAATGTGCCAGACGTGCTCCCGGCTGGGACCTGATGCAGCGCTGTCTCCTGCACTAACACAGAGCACACGTGAAGGTCTGAAAGTGCTCACCACATTACTTGTCCAAAGTGAAACAGACTTTCTACATGATCATGGACTTTATTTTGAGCTCAGAAAAGCTGTGCATGAAGTTATTAAAACTTATCACTGGGTGCTAGTGAAGAGTCTTGATGGACCAGGTCACCAGCCTCTCAGTTTTGCATGCAGAAGTAAAAATTAAGACATGGAAACCACTTACCTCTCAGCAGGTCAGCCAGGAAGGAGAAATGGGAAGCCTGAAGGAGATAAAAAGAGGCAGAGAGTCAGCTTCTGAAATCAAATCCCAGCACGGAGCTTGGCTTATGGCATAAAGTTTCTCAGTGCTGGATATCCAGATAAGCTCATTACCCACTTTGCAGCTAACTGGGCTGGATTTTCAGAGCTCTTTCAAAAGATCATCAAAATGTCCTAAAAAGCCCACTGCTCCCAACAACTGACATGGGAGTTCTGGCTTTTATGAGCATCCAAGCCGCAGGGCTGGTGTGCTTTGGGAAAAACCTGTCCTGAATGAATTAAATTACCTTTTTGCTTTTGAAGTGGCTATTTGTCTTACTTCACGGAGATACTGACAGAGGCCACGCTCCAGCCGGCAGCAAAAGCTGGGGGGCTGGGATGTGCTTGGGAAGGGCAGAGCAGAGTTTGGACAGTGTGGCATAGTCCAGGAGCCTATGTCTGGTGAAGCCGGTGGGATTTGGACCTCCGAGCTGGAAGGTTGTCAATAACCTTTGGATGGAGGCAACTGGCACTTCCTGTGAGGAAATGCCGCATGTCTGACCTCTGACGTGGGGCTCCAGCCTTTCCTGTTTGGCTCATGATCAAGGGCAAGTGACAAAAGGAGACAGAAGAAGAAGGAAATCAGCTCTCAGCCTTTGAAGAGCATGAGTGAGGCTTGTCTGAAAGGAGACGCACTGACTCCTTACCAGGGATGCATCCCCCACGTGGAGATTTTGGCTCGCTTTCCTTCTTGCTCTAAATCCCAGCTGCGGACAGGGTTACCTGCCTTTGTGACAATACACGTGCTAACAGCGGGTGTAAAGGAGAACTGGAGCTGTTATTCTTCATCCTTCACATTATTTGTCACATGAAAACGTATTTCCAAATAATTTAACACACGTAATAAAGACAGAAAACATACACTCACACACGATTATTATGTGCACCTACACATTGCTGCAGATACAATTAACTGTAAATATATGCCCTGTTTAGTTGTGCATTATGTATTTAGCTGCACATAGAAGAAAGACATTCTCAGCTAACACTGGTTGTGACTAAGAACGAATGAATCAGAAGTAGTGAATAAGAAACAGGACAAAAAGAGCTCAGATTCACATTTGCGAATATTATCTGGAATATATAAATGAGTTTTTGCTTCAGGCACGTTTGCATCCCTCTTGTGCTTGAGGCAGGAAGAACAGACACTCCAGCACTCCCCTTCCCACTGACTTTAATGAGAGCGATGTCCTCCGAACCACTCAGCCGGGCCCCTTTCCACGTGCACTTAAGTAAGTCACACACGTACAAAATCAAATCCTCTGCAGCTGGGAGGACACACACACGTGCACAGAATTGCACCCCCCAAATAAGAGCAGAGATGAGGGTAAATGAGAAGGCTGTAAAAGCTTGGCCCTTGGTGTGTGTGTGTTTCTTAAGTGCAGGTACAGGGTTCCTCAGATCCTTTGCCAGACCTCAATGGAGACTGAAGAAGGAAAAGGTCTAATTGCTTCAATTACAATTAGTGGTAGCATTCATCCATCAGCACAAACCAAAACAAACCCTGCAAGTGTACTCCTTTCTCTTGGAGGAATAGATGAAACAAAGAAAAGGAAGCAGCAATGGGAGCAGGATAAAGCAAGAAATATTTCATCTCCCTCTCCTGCTCTCTGCTGTGCCCTGTTGTACTGTTTGTCTGATGGGGTTGGAAAGGGTTTAGGGCCAGAAGGGTTTGACTTCAGTGAGGTTGCTAAACCTGCCCTACACTCAGGGTGACCCGTGGCACCACTGAGGAATGTTCAGAGGGTTTCAGCCCAGTCTGAGGGAGGTGCAGGACGTGACTGCAACGTGCTCTTCTGTGCCTCAGTTTCCCCTAGCTGTAGAGGAGAGGTGATAGTTTCACACCACCAGAAGGGATGGCTCACACATCAAGAAAAAAAGGATGAGAGACCTAGCACTTTGCTACTCTACTTTCTTTTCCAGGTTACTGACCTACCTCTCCCATCCAAGCACTCCGCCATGGGCAGAGCTGACTGCAAAAGGGCAGATACCCTCAACTCCCTCTTACAATAAACCGATGCCTCATATTTCCAGCAAGAGCCTTCAGAGCAGGCAGTGGGCTGTGCTCTAGGGTGGCTGAGTCCCAAATTCTGATTCCTGTGTTTGGATGAAAGCCACTGTCTGCTGCTACAGTACAAAAGTTTCTGGAGCACCCAGCATGGAGAGTCCTACAGTTAAACCTAATCTTTATCATAGGTTCTGGTGTCCCGTTTTGTTCTGGAGCTTTTTCCCCTCGTGTGGCTGTCACAGGCTGCAGCAGCAGAGCCACAGGGGACAAAACCCCAGGCAAAACTGACCTCTCAGCGTGGAGACATTTCTCCTCCCTCCTGGAGTTCATTGGACCAGAGACCAGTCCATACTGGTTTTGAAACATTTAACCCCCCACTAGCCCCCGCAGGGCCAAATTTGGCTCCCTGCATTAAGCTTTCCATGGTGGTGTGCAGCAGAGGAGGGAGAAGAGCTCTCCTCCTTCCCTTTTGCCAGCTTGAGCTTGTCCTTTCCTCCGTGCCATGAGGAGGTGGGAAGCAGGATGCAGGAGGGGGCTACAGGGTGGAGGTCCAGGAAGGGACTGCAGGTGGGAGGAGGCTGCAGGATGGGGGCTGCAGGAGAGGGTGCAGGCAGGGGCAGTGAAGGCAGGGCCTCCTGCTTGCCGTGCCGTATTGCTCATGACCAGCAGAGGAGGATCTTGTCCTTCCAACAAGGTGCAACACTGAGCCCAGCCAGGAGCGGGATTCAAACAAAAGGAGGAGGCTGGGGGGGGAGAAGAGAGAAGAAATTAGACCGTGGGGCTGGTTTCCCCAAACGGTCTCCTTGCTGCAGCTTGACACCAATACTTTGTGTGCTCTCTCTCAAGAGGGAATAAAACCGCTGGATCCTGTTAGTAGCAGGTCCGCAGAGACGGGGGACGAAGCTGGAAGAATTTGCAGAGAGCAATTTTAAATTTTATTACTTTAGGCTCATAAAAAAGAAGCACTGAAAAAAAATATCTGGGAGAGACATTTTATATAGGTACTGGTGCATTGCTGTGTGGAGCCAATTACATTTATAAGGCTTCTAGAAAAAATGGTGGAAAAATGACTGAAATTCAAAATATCCTAATTTCACCTGACCTTTGTTGTCATCATCGTAATGATTAGCACTTCACTAAAGCTTCGTTTCTCCAAAGAACCATCAAAACTTTGCTAATTAGGCTTTGTGCCAAGGTTAAATGCTGCAGATACATGATACTCTCCATTTTTCCATTTCAACTCCTCAAGAAAGAGAGACTAATGAAATGTAATAGATTTCAAACGATAATGCCAGAACCATGAGCTTTCTTGGTCTCAGGACAGAATCCTATGGCTCTTTCTCAGACAAAAATGTCCAGTTAATCTCTGGCGATTCTTTCTGAATAAAGCCAGGAAGATTTGACCCCAAATTCAAGGGAAATTATTTCCAGCTGCTAAGGGAATTCTGCAGTTGAACTGTTGATTGTGTCTCGGGTACATTTGCTACCCCTTAATACAATCAAAATGAATAATTAAAGCACAAAAGCAGGTGGAGAGACAGGTAGCACAAAGGTGACAACTCAGGGTTAGACTGTGAATTTAGAGGTGTGCAAAACAGAAGTAATTCCAGAGAAAACAGTACAGCTACTCGAGCTGGCACAACAAACTGGCAAGAGGGATGAAAACTACCTGTTCACATACACACACTGAGCAATGAAGCACGACAGGAGTTCAAACATTAAACTGCATTGGTAGGAATTGGCCTATTCACTTAATTGCACTAAGTCCTGCAAATTCTCCTGCAACTTGCTGCAAAGCGTCCTCAGGAAAAACAAATATTGCCCCTTTCATTTTTCCTTCTGTCCAGTCACAGCTTTGCAGCCGAGAAGGTGGTGGGATGGGAATGAACTGGAGAACAAGGGTGGATATTTGATCAACTTCCATCCACGACTGACATAAGGCACGAAGGAGCCATGAGGGCAGACACAACTACTGCCTTTTCGCAGTGAACCCCTTGATCCTGCTGACAGCTCTCAGTGGGAACCTTTGTCTGGGCTCCTCGCCAAAGGAGGAGGGAATCGACAGTTCTGATGCTCTTACAATCGGCCAGATTTTTGCCTGCAACCATCTTGGGTAGTGACAGTCTTTGAACTTCAAGGGAAAGTGGCTTTTCCAGCAATGACATTGTATTTCTCAGCCAAGGCCATGGTTGCAGTATAATGAAAGCAGGGCACATTATCATCTGGAGCACACATGCAACACGTTGTATTTTTAGCCTGGGAAACCATTCTCTGAACAGATTCCACCAAAACCTCTGAGTTCTTCACCTCTCTGCTAGCAAGACATCTCCTGCCTCCACACTGAACTGCAACGTGTGCCTCAGAGTAAACGGCATGTTCCTTACTGACTGGTCCCAGGGTATCCAGAGAAGTTTACATTTAAAGTATTTATTTAGCTGATTATTTAGTTGTGAACCTTTCCCATGGTAGCATCTGATACAAAACCCACAGGGATCCAGGAAAAAAATCAATAGCCCTTGGAGGTGCTGCTGAAACCAGCCTGGTTCTCTGCACAGGAGTTACCTGCTCTTGTTTTCCAAGAGATCAAAGTTTCCAAGTTAATCTTTGCACTGTGAGAGATGGCCTGGTAGCAGCTGGCTTTTTTTAAAGTTGCTTACGGGTGGATGAGGTGTCCTGGAGGTCATGGGTGGAAAATGGGGTCAGCCTTGGATGCCACAGCAAGGGCAAAGCTACAAAACCCATTTCAGGGGGCTGCAGGAGCCAGCCTTGTTGCACTAACTCGTGTGCGCCGCACTATCAAACGCTTTTGCAGCCAGTGCCGGGATTGCAGGTTATACCGCTAGACTTAAAGCTTATGCAAAGTCATTAAGTCCCTTTAGTTACACCGGATATCAACCTGCACGCTGCAGGGCATAAGCTGATTGCCTTCGGGGGTCAGCGAGGAATGCTTCCCTCTCGGAGAGCGTGGTGCACAATTAGCTGGGGGCGCTCCCAAGGCTTTGTTGCTTTCCTGCTGCATCAGGCAAATTTAGGCGAGCGCTGCAGAGGGCATTACACCTGATGGGCCACAAATTGAGATGGGCTTGACAGCACCCGCTTCTCTTTGCAGGGATCAGTTTGCAATGCAACGGAGAATAAAGCCCTTGCGTGAGTGGTGCAGCACTGGAGAGAGGGTGAGGGGAGCAGCAGTGGGAGTTTACTACAGGAATAGATCTGTTGGTGGGTAGAAAGAGATGTCAGGCAGAGTTCACCTTGGGACACCCTAAAATGTTGGTCTCCAAGCACTCGAGGCAAGGAAAGACCTATATTGCTGGTAACAGCTTCCTATCCACTGTGGGCCAGCTGAAAGATAGATAGGCACTGATGATAAACTTTTGTTGCAGTTGTTTGTTCTTCACGTGATACTTTAATCCTTCCCATTCCACTAGTAAGCGCACTTGGCAATTGGACTGGGCATGGCTAGTGACTTCAAAATACTTTCCATCACAACCAAGCACACATCAATTTTCTGAAGTTTCAGATTATTCAGTGAAAATTCACCTCTGCTTCTCTGACTTGTGCATTTCTTCCTCTCTGCTGCCAGGTGGTCTGAACTTGGAATGAACATTGATACAAGGAAAAAAGCCTTATCTGAACATCTGTTGAATCAAAACCCACATTTTTTTTCTCCCTGTAAGCATGTACTGAAGCACTGTAGAGCACTGCTAAATGGGAGCTGCAGCCTGGTGCTGTGGGACCCACATTGGTCTCGTCCTGTTGCAGATTTCTTCAGCACAACATTTAAGCATAGTGTGTGATTCTGTTTGTATTTCAGAAAAGTTGCTTCAACACAAGCCCGAGTCAGGGAGGACAGGCAGCTGAACCACTGTGTCTGAGTGTTGATACAATGCCATAGCAGAGCTCTTTGCATTTCTTTTTGGCAAAGTAAGGAATATTTAACAACACAACACCTTATAGCAGGCACATTTCTACTACAGTATCCTGCTGAGCAAAAGCGTATTCATTTCTCTAAAAGTTTCCATTCATGCAATGCTGATGTCTGTATCAGCGAGGACCTACCGTGATTAAAAGCAAAAAAACCCCAAAACCCAAAACACTGACCTGAGAAGGCCTGCCATGTCTGAAGACAATCTTTGGTACATTTGCATCACATATGCTAAAATAAAGGACAAAATGTTGTTCTCCCTTGCAGCCTTCATGTGTCTTCCTGCCTTTTATGGAAATAGTTTGGATTCATGCAGGTGAGATCGGTTTCTCTTCAGGTAATATGAAAGAACCAAATGGAAATTTTTGCCTTAGGGTCTTGCTCCAAACATGCCAGATCCATGGATGTCTGAGTGCTTTCCTCTTCTATTTGGACTGACTCGATAGGGGAGCTACTGCCTAAATCTGCATTTGACTTCTGCTATATATCACCAATAATATTTATTAATCAGAGTGTTACTTATAAAAACTCCTAAAGTTAGATTTGAATAAAAATCAGAATGACGAAAGTAGATAGTTCTGCAAAAGGATGGAAATAGGAGTTTAAGGGTGTTTTCCACAGGTTCAGCAAAATGCAGTCTTTTCTTTTTCATTCAAACTATTTCAGTTTAACTTTTTCTTTGGAACAGATCATTAAGGCAAAAATGTCCTCTCATAACATGTTTGTCACGCAATGGTCACGTCATGGCGACTCATTCCCCTCTTTTTTTTCTGGGATCCATGCCAAGTGCTAAGCCAGAAAACCTTGTTATATTAATTATGAAGAAAAAACATGTTTTATTAAAAACTAGCCTGCTGAATATTCTGTCGTGCTGTTTTTCAGTGACAGCAGAATTGCTTTTGCATTTTAGCAATGTTAATGAATTTTCAGGGGTGGGGGGAGATATACACTACATTTTCCACAGCAATCTTTAGAGCAAAGTCAGATTAGGATTGTCAAAGCTAATGAATCAACCTAACACTGAGAAC